CCCTGGCGTCGTCTGGCGTCGGCTGGGCACCGGCGCAGTTTGCGTGGCAGGCGCAGTACTTTGCTGCGCGCCAAGGGGTCGGATGTACGCCCTGGCGTCGTCTGGCGTCGGATAATTTTCGTGGTTTGTACACCTGGTGTCTTTCGGTGCATTTGGGATCTTGTCTTCTCTAGTCGCCTCCGAGGTCGTTGCCTGCGCTCGTTCGCGGGAGCTCAAAGCTACGTAGAGTCAACCGTATGAGTCAACCATATGAATCGATATGACCAGTATGCATCTTCCTGCTCAGGACACTTGGACCAGTTCGTCTCCGACGACCGACTCTCTGACGAGATACACACAAACGGATACACACAGATACACCCTGATGAACAGACACATGCACACAAACACACACCTTACAAACACCTACATGCACACAAGCGTCATACAGCATACACCCACCCACACACTCATACACACTCACGGACAAGCACCTACAATCAAACGCACACCTCACCTACACACACCGACCCTTACGCATTCTATTTGTCTCGCCTGTCTCTTCCCCATGCTCACTCTTCAGCACTTTATGTCTGCAGCTTCAATCTTTCGAAGTTGTTCCCATGTGGGGTTATCTGGTCCTATAATTTGCGTTCGCTGCTCCTGCCTTAAGGTGACGTCGAACATGGCAAAATGTGAAATGTCCCTTCTTCAGATCCACAGCCTGGGCACAAGCAAACCCGTACAAGCCAGTTATAGAGTAAACCATATACCCCACATTGGTGGCTCATCGGCTTGTCGAACTTGACCCTCTGAGTTCGGGCGAGACGTGAAACACCCAGACACATGGGCAATCTTGTGTGAACATGTGTGAACATGCATGAACATGTGAACACAGAGAGTGAACATGGTGGGGAAGTACAATTTAACATGTGAATCTGTGAATATGTGTGAATGAAAAGATGGTGGACACAGGTGTGCTAGTTCTTTGAGGGCCTTCGCCATGACAGTGCCTTATTGTCATATTGTAGTGATTGTGTGAAGGTGCCATCGGTCATGAAAGGAGCTTCACTCTTTGGCAACTCTTTGAAACAAATTCAACACGCCAAATCTGCTGCCAAAAGTTTGCCTGGTTGCATAGCACATCGTACCATAATGTCACAGTGGCACTAATGGTGGCACAAAGTTGCAAAACAAAGTCTTGGCGTGGCCGGAAACGACATGGAAGACGTATTTGCGCGATGGTTTGCCAATGATGTACGACATGGCACATGAACTTGTCGGAATTCTTCGACATGCTGAGACAAATTGAGCATGTGTCGCTCGTCCACATCTCACATCTCACTCATTCTTTCTCGTTCGGCTTCGAGAACGGCGACGGGGACGGCGACGGTGAGCGCAACAGCCATGGCCCGTGGGCACCTCGAAGGCTTTGCCACAAATTTGGCCGAACGTGTGATGTGACGGTGCCACGATGCCGCGAGCAGATGTGTTTTGTTCGGTTCGGGCTCCAAGGCAAGAACGGCCCAGGCCTTGGCCCAAGGCCGGAAATAGATGGAAACAGGCGTAGCAGTTGAACAATGCCTTGAATGCGATACTGTAGTTACTAATAGTACTAATACAGTCACTAGTGGTAAAAAGTCTTGCCGGTTCTTGTGCCCATTCTTAATTGACATGTGGCTCCAATTTGGCGAGGCTCGCACCGCTTGCATTCCTTGCATGCGCTTTGAAGCTGCCATGTCTCCAGAATGAAAGCTTGAAGTGAAGACATTCCTTCGGATCCGAAGATTTCGCTTTCGATTTCTTCAGGTCCTTCGTTGGAATCCATCAAAGCCGCAATACCTTGGTACCTCGAAGAGGAGAAGGCAAGTATCGGAGTCCGACGGAACTTCACAATTTCCAGAAATTACATATTCGGATGAAAAATAGATGCGATGACGGAAAGCGCTGGAACAGCGCATGGAGTTGCTTCAACGGGAGGGACTAGGAGCGTGTGCAAATGGGACTGTGAGTTGCAGAATGTTGGTTGTGGATTCCAAATTGGTGAATTTAGGGCGCGGATTGAACGAGTTTGTGAAGATTTACTTCAAAAAATGTGTTTGTGAGTTGTGTGGGTTACATAACTTGCATCGCATGGTGACTTTGGCGCCCACAAACTTTGCACCTGCCATTGTTTGTAGGGAAGTTGTGTGGTGTGTGGTGTGTTGAGTGTGTTGATTGTGTCACAAGTGGGCGGATCTTAGACGCCACAGGACCACTAGAGTCACTATAGCAGCTACAGAGCAACGTCTCAGGCTCATTGGCACCCGGAGTGCCAGAGTGGAAGTAGAGTGGAATGTATCAAAGCGGCGTGTTTTCCAGCGCAGGGGGCAGGAACTAGCAGGTAGCCACACAGAGCCATGCTCGTGTGGTCGCATTCGCGAGGGAGTTTGCGCAATATTGCCTCATCAGCGCGATCAATGCCGTCATCATGGCTATCGCCAACTATATTTATATACAATCCTCATCACCTTCGTAGTCATCACTGTCGTTTCCAACACCATCACCACCGGAGCTATGCTTGGAGGCTTTCTCGCAGGACATGCACATGGAACAATCGCGCAGGACACGCGCTACAAAAATCGCATTCCCGCTGTGGCTAGCCGAGGCAAGAGTGGGTCAGCAAGTGGCTGTATTTGGACATTCCTCATGTTTGTGTACCGTTCGGCTGCGTTTGTGCAGGCGCCTCATTGTCTGCATGAGCATCGCCATCGTGATTGACAACCTAATCACCATGATCATCATCAGCATCATCATCATCATCATCGTCACTTGATGATTATGATCTTGATGATGATGATGGTGGTGGTGGAGACAGTGGTACAAGAACCGTATAGTGGCTCTCAAATAGAAAAGTAGATCCCCACTAAGAACCCTGCGCTTCCAAGAAGCTCATTTCTAGAAGCTCTTCTAGCAGAAGCTTTGTTTTGTAGCTGGCAGCTCTGCTTGAAGCCTCTAGAGATTTCTCAAGAAATCTCCTAGAAGCGCTTCCTGGAAGCCCTTTTTGGTGCCTAGAAGCGCTTTCTAGGGATGGCCTAGAAGCTCTTTTAGGAGCTTCTAGGAATGGTGATGTGGGAGTGCGTGTGAGCTTCCAACACAACCAAAACAAAGACTCCCACAAATTTGCAGCTGTAAGATTTAGCCTATACTGGGTATGGAGCGATCACATTGCTTCTTTGAGCAGCAGTGAAACAATGTGCCTGGTAGGAGGCATTGTGCCTAGGTCAGGCATTCCCCATGGAAGAGTCTGGAAGAGGCATTGTGTGTAGGTCAGGCATTCCCAATGGAAGAGGCATTGCGCCTAGGTCAGGCATTCCCAATCGAAGAGGCAGCCTGGTTCAATGTGAGGACAGAATTGGATGCCATCCATTTCAGCAAGACCTTTTCACTTTGTGCTCGACAAGAATGCTGGCCACTCCTTCTATAGAATAGGGCTTGAATCTGACCAGCAAAAGTTTCATCTCTATAGTTCCAGGAATCTTTGGGGTTGGCCCCCAGTGAGATTTCATCCATGAGGTGCTCAAGCAAATGCATTTTTGGTTTTACTCTCCAGGTGAAAGTGTCATCTTCATCCTTGGAGATAGCTGCGGCTTCCAGGGCCAAGCACTGGCTTTTAAACACCAGGCTCAAAGGATTGAACTTCTCCATGTTTTCATAGGCCCTCCCACAGAACCTGGCCACATTGAATACAGCTTTCTGATGGTTGGAGCCTTTGTCCAGGCTTTTGTTTTGGGCAAGCTTTTCCAGCACAGATTTGCAGAAATGCCTAACACCAGCAGCTTTGCCTTCCAATTCAGCAGGCGCTTAATGTCATTGTGCCTGAATTTGCGCGATCTCACATCACTGGGCACATGCTCTGCATCATAACTCTTTTTGACGTCACACCAAAGGCTGTCCAGCCTTTCATCTTTGTTTTTGCTTTTGTAAGCAGGCATTAGTTCAAAGAACACTTGGCCTGCTGCCATGGCACCACAGCCTTCATCCATGACACGCAACCAGTCAGGCCTCATGGCTGCATTGGTGATGCCAGGGAGCCTAAACGGAGGAGCCGCATGCTTCTCTCTGTCTTCCAGGCTTTGGAGCCAGCCTTCAAAGCTCAAGCTTTTCTTCTTCCTTTCTTCGGTTGTAAGAGCCTTCCATTCTCCAGGCTTTGCTGAGCAAAGCCAACAGCAGCCATGATTAGCGTTCCAAGTGGGAGCACCATACCATGTGGCATACCAGTCCCAATCCCCTCTCTGCCTTACCAGGCATTGCTTGCCAGCTTTGCTTAGCGTTTCAGGAGTGCCATCATGTCTGGCATTTGGGTAGCTGCCTTCCCCCAAGCATCTCAAGGACCAAGCTATGACCTCCAAGATGGCCTGGGTGGTCTGGTGGCCAGAAATCCACCTTGTATCCAAGCACTCAGCTGGCTATGCAACTTGCTGCATCGTAAATTGAGCGACAAAAACTCACATGTGGATTGGTTCATCCTGCCTTGCACAGGCACTCCATCTCCATGTAGCCCTAGGACCACCATGGAATGCCTTGGGTTGCGCCATGCATTTTCAATTTTGGCCTGTTGGTCAGAATGAAAAGTGCCTCTGGCAGGCATTGCCCCGTCTTTTGCACCACTTTGCCAAAAATAGTCTGCTAGCCATTCATGGGGGAGAAGGAACGCTAGCCATTTATTGTCAATGGCTTTTGAGACTGGGTTCATCACAGGAATTTCTGCCCAATATAGCTTGCCCCATCCTTGATGTTTATAGGGCCACCTTTTCATTGTCTTGTTTGCATTAGTATCTCGCTTTGTGCCTATAGCATGCATTTCCTGGTTGGCCCAAGGTTGATTGAATTCCAAGCCAACCCTCCTGGCCTTCTTCAAACTGGAAGCTTGGTTTGCTGAGACCTTGTTGCTAGTATAGAGGTCGACCACCTCCTCACCAAAAGCTTCCTCTTCTTTCTTTTGATTTGGAACCCATGGGGGGCTCCCCATGTTCTGCATATTTTCTTTTTGGGGCTGCCCACGCAGCTTGCCATAGGATGAAGACACAAAAGAACAAAAGCGACTTCTTCTCAAACATTTTTGAGCAACAAAAGCTGCCACTGGCTTTATTTATCAAAAATCACACCTACAACCCAGCTAGCCTGGCACAGGCTCTATTCCCACAATTGCAACATTGAGCTTCCCAACCCAGCTAGCAGCCGTGTTCTGGGTTTGGCTCTCTAGGCCATGGGTAGCCTTTCCACAGGCTGTCAAAACTGTGTAGAGCATGCCAGCATTCTTTGCCCACATCCTGTGTGGTGCAAGAGCCTTTGTCAGGCTTTTCTGCTCTTGGTCGCACCCCTTTTTCAAGGCATCCAAGGATTCAGTGACCCTTGGACTGGTGGACTCAGAGCCATCCTCCCAAGCCTGTGGGAAGCCAGCCAGCTTTTCAAGCCATTCATCCTTTTTGCTGCCAAACTTGGCATTCAATTTTCCAATTTCCACCAAACTGGCTTTGGCTTGCTCTTGGTCTGAAGCCTTTTTCAGGCTTTCTGAGAGCAGCTTCATTTTGTCCACGTTGTTGCCCAATGTGTTGATGTAAGCCTTTTCAGGGGTAACTTCAGGCTCTACTGTTTCTGGGAGCTGAGGCTGCTGTGGGCCACCAAGCACCATTCTGCCATTGTCAGGCATTGTGCGCAAAGCTCTCTCTCTACATGCTCAAAGTCGCCTTGCTGCAAGTCACCAACTGAAGCTTGAGCCTCAACCAGGCTTTCATTGCCCTTCTTCATTTTGGTGGCCAGATCCTTTGTGGCGTGGTATTGTTTCATACCAGTGGCAGCCCAAGCTTTGACCTCATGAAGTCTTCCAGGCCTTCCACAGCCTGATTGCACAGGCTCTCAAACTCAGGGTGCTCTGGCCGAGCTCCCTGCGGCTTCCCGGTCTCCGGCTTTGTCGTCCGTCCCGCCGCCTGTGTGTTGGTGGTGGTTTGCCTTTCCAGGCATTCCTTGTGCGCAGATTTCTGGCTGGCATTGGGGTCCAGCAGGAAGACATTATAGTAGAACTCCCGCTTCTCCTGATTTGTTTGGCACTTATCAAATTGCGCCTTTTTTGCAGGCGTTGCTTTCAACTGGTACTTCATATCTGCCCAAGCCCTTTTGGTTGGAGGTGGCAGTGGGCCTGAGACTGGTGCAGGCTTTGGTGCATTGGCCTCAGCCTCTGGGCCCTTTCGCGCCTCTGCAGTCTTTGGCTCAGGCTTTTTGGAGTGACCTTCTCATGTTTCACAGGGCGCCCAGCCACTTCCATGTCAGCTTTGGTTGCTGGCCTCTTCTGTGGTGGCATGGCTGTCCAAAAACCTGCGCTAAACCTTTTCTGAACTTTGGCGCTTTGAGCAAAAAATGCTGCCCAGAAAAGCTGACGGACAGGCGGCATTAGGTGGCTGTGCCTCTCAGGCATTAAATCTGACACATTTTCTGTCCTTGGTTGACCTCAAGTGTGGTACATTTTCTGTCTTTTTTCCTTTGCCCTTATTAACTTTAATAAGGGATTCTGTTTTTTCTGTTTTTTCAGGCTTGGTACCTCAGGCCCTTGGTGACCTCTTCTTCCTCTTCTTCTTCAGGAGGAGGCTCAAAATCCCAAGAGCATACGAACGCCCTTGGATGAGCTGGATGTAGAGCCATTGACAGCTGGGGCCTTTTGCAGGCCTTGAAGCCTCAAAGATGCTTGTGTCAGGCATTGGGTGGCTGGAAACAATGACCAAATGTTCACAGCCACGCATACCTCATTGTGGTCAGGCTCTTCAGTGGAGGGTACCCATGCTGGCTTCCCACATGCCAGGTGGGTGGCCATGGACCCAAGTGTTCATTGCCGTTGCCGGCCTTTGCCCTTCAACCATGCAAGCTGCAGGCCTTTTGGCTGCAGCCTTTGTGGCAGGCTTCTTTGTGGTTGTAGCCTTTGTGGCAGGCTTTTTGATGGGCTTTGCTGGGCCTTGCTTGCTTTCAGGCCTTGTTGGCGCTGAGCCTTCCTCAAGCTTTGCTCCTGCCACAATGTCCATGAACTGCAGCAGCACAGGTGGTGTCCTCTCACCATTTTTCCACAAAATTCATCCTTTTCCTTCCCAAGTAGCTCCTGTATTCACGCAAGGTGTTCACCATTTGTTTGGCTTCAGGTGCTCAGCTTGGGGCATGCTTTCAAGAAAGCCTTTCTCTCATCAGGCTTTGACAAGCTCTTCTTCTGGAGCCACAGCTTCAAAAAGCCTGCATGCCTCAAACAAGCATTCTCTGGGTCAGCTAGAAAATCATCAGGCCCACAGTTAGGCACAAAGCCTTTCACCAAGGCTGCCAGCTCATTTATCAGGGAGCCTGTCCCTGTCTCAGGCTTTACGGAAAAACTAGCAGATCCGAGAAGCTCTTCTAAAGAGATTTGAGCAAAAAACTTGCAGTTCCTAGAAGCGCTTCTAGAACTATTCTCTAGAAGTTTTGAAACTGAGCTGCCAGCTCTGATTTGGAGCTGCCAGCTCTCCTTGGAGCTTCTGCGATCAGCACCTAGAAACCTAGAATGCAGCTTTAGAGCTGCCAGCTTCACACAGAGCTTCTTGGAAGCGCAGGGAATGTATTGGAATGGGAACCCTTATAAGCTTTTGCGAAGGTCGTTTTGGAGGTACCTTGCCTCGCAAAACCTTCCTTGATCCCTGCGACTGACTTAGGGGTTGTCTCAATGAGAGAACTTTTGCACGAATCCGGGTTTTTGCAGGAACTGCGACTCGTTGGAAGGTTTTGAGATCACCGATGAACAAATTCTAACTGGAATGGTGAGCCCGCTTGCCCAATGAGATAGCTGCAGTTTGCAGGTCTCTGTCTCTGTCTTGCAGTGGTGCGCTTGTGACTTGTAGACGCTTGTGTCTTTGCATTGTGGCAGCTGAGAGCACCATTTATGAAACGCACATGGCACCATGCCTGGCGTGATGAAGACCTGAGGCAAAACAGCTACGCGCTCCTGCCGCCAGCTTGATGGGCAGCATTTCAATTTTCAGGGTCCACACTCTGATTTGGAACCCATCATGCACGTGACGCTCGACCCTCTGAACGACTTGGCTGTGGCTTTCGACCAAAAAGCAGCTATAGCGAGCTCTTGCTGGACATTATTTTGTGGCGAGCGGCGAGTGCTCTCACCAAGCGTCGCAGCCTCACCACGCCCTGCGCCTGCCACGAAAATTCAACTTCGACCTTTCCAACGTGAAAAGTGACGTGTCTTTGCGGCCGCAGCCAAACTTGTGCCGCCACACGCATGATTTCGACGCTGTCTGAGTGCGCGCACATACACCGCAATCGCAGTTTTAGCTGAGACTTGTCGCGAAAACACTTCTTCGAGGCAGAGCGATGTCCAACTGATAGATTTTCAAAAAGCCTCCGTGAGATTGGTCGGTTTGTTGCGGACTTTTGGGCGGGATGTCTCTTGTTAGCGGCGGGTTTGCCGGAGGCTTGGATATAGGCTGTCTTGACATGATGTGGCTTGAGTGAAAAAACGCCAAACCAAACAAACCAAGCAGGCCTTCCTCTTGCGTCTTTTGTTGCAATCCCCTTTTTGGGCGAAAGTATGGTGAGTATAGGAGAAGCGCGGAGGCCTTTTGAAAATTTAACACGCCCAACGCCTGTCCAACGCCTCCAACAAACCACCCTGCGAACACCTGCAACGGCGCGGGAAACTGAGGATCTCACGACACGCTGCACCTGCAGCAGCAAAATCATCTTCCACAGTCCCACACGTTACCTTTCTAGGCTGTCATGAATCTGACACAAACTTCCTCCAGACCCTTTCCCAATGGCAGGGTCTTGGCAGCACATTCATAAGTCTGCCACCACGAAGCCAACGTCACGTGAATCACTACGCATTCACAAGCTCTTGGACGACCCGACATAGCCCACGAAAACTTGAAACAGTGACGAGTGAACGCTGCACAGAAGCCAGGGGAAAGGGCCTGCTACTTCTGGGCACGGGGCGGGGCCCGCAAAAGAGCAAGGACGTGAGTCATCGTGTGTGTTTTTTTTGCGTGAGCGTGTGTTTGCGTAGCTGTTTGTGTCCAAGTGTTTTCCATAGACAGGTCGATAGTCGAAAGGGCAGTGCACTTGCGCTACAATAATCTGATGCTGGCGCTCGCGCCAACCGCACTCCATCACTTTCCGTTGTTAGCCGCACTAGCCTTGCAGAGTTTCTAGTCCAAATCGTGTCTCAGGCTTTGAAGGCGCCCCATCGCCGAAAGCGCGGCACTCAGAAGCGGAGGCGTCAAAAGGTTCGAAACGTTTTTCGCGAGTCCAAGGTAAAATCTACAATTTCTCGGGAGCAGCTGGAACGCGATCATGGGGACAGCTGGGAGGCGACGGGGACGCGACGCGATCAGATACAGAAATCGCGTCCACTTGTTTTCGGTTCGTTGGGTCTTTCAATTAAGACCGAAGACATGCCAAACTAAACGACGAATAGCCCGGGAGCATTGATGTCTCTTTGTTGTATCAAGACGCCGGTGGACCATGTGTCTGCCTACTTGTCGCATCGCCCACAGCTTTCTATACGCCAAGCCTCTCATTCCTTCCGCCAATGGCACGGACCCACGGAAACGCGCTTTCCACCAAGGCCGCGCAAAACCGCATGGCACAGCGACATCACAGACGTCATTTGGCCACATGGCGCGCGACAAACGTCCACATATATCCAATTTGCGCGCAAGGCGCAAGTGATATCACATTAATCGCAGTCCCAGTGTAGCTCACTGGCTGAAGGTAAATTGCAAACCGGCACAGCAAAATGACTCATTAAAAACTTAAGGTTGTCAAACCCTTTCATTCACAGCAAAGAACCTCAAGCGTACAAGGTGTCTGCCCTTGGGGTTGGTTTGGAAGGGGGTTCCCTTTTTCAAGAGCCACAATGCAGCATATGAATGCCATGCTCCGGGACGGCGCACGATGATGGAGTTGTTTTGCGCGAGCAGGTATTGACTGTTTGGCTTCCAGATGAGCCAGGGAAAGAAATGAAGATATATTAATCCAACTTGGCGCGCTATGAGCAGAGTATGAAAGATATTCATGTTGTTTCTTGACAGCGCTGGGAAAGGAAAGTTTGTTTCTTCAAACACTCAATCACACATTTCCACTGCAGAACAAAAGATTAGACTGCATACGGATGCTGGTCGAGGCCTCGAGGCTATATTGCTAGCTGGATTGAAGACATCATGATTTGAGGACAACATGGTTTGAGGACAACATGTTACACGCATTTCTTGAACAGCAACTAAAGATGGTCCTCAGTGACCCCGTACTCAAAAACATGTTCACTGCCTGGATGACCATTGAAGGGCAGGCAATCCTTCCTCAACACTGCAACGGGCAGCTACTTTGGAAGTTCCAACAAAAAAACACTGCACAAGGGAAGACACAGAGCGGCTTGACTTCGAAAGCTTTGAGTTTCACAAACTATTTGCCTTTTTGTTTTCTCGCTTGACAGATCCACCTCGCAGCTATACAGTCTCCGCTGGATCTCTAGGCCCCAAACTACTACTGAAGGCCTTGGCGGCGTCTACCTTTGGTTTGTTCACAAATCACAGCACGGTCGCTCCAAGTCAAGGAGCTTGTCCGGCAATTTGGCAACATTGTTTTCCAAGCAGACAAAAGCTTCAGCTGGCCATTCAGCCCCACAAAGGCTGGCTTCTCCACCTGCGCTTGATCAATGCCTCCTGCCCAGCTCGATCCAATTCATGGTACTTCTGACAGGCCAATTGCAACCAAAATATCAGTTGTTCAACCGAAAAAGCAAAAATTCACTTAGGTTCGTTCTTGCTGATAATATGTTCATCAAAAAACACATCAATGATTTCTGATACTGTACAATGAGACCTCAATAGAAAAGCCAATTCTAAATTAGACATGACATGAAATTTGTTTTTTAAACACTGTTAAACATGTTGTTGAACAAATTTAAGTCAGTTGTTCAAAGACGGTTCCTCGTGACCTCATATCGAACGATGTTTGAGGGTTCCCTTCCAGTGTTTTTCCCCAATAGCCATGCTATGGGGTCTTGCAAAACTAATAGGCGGACGGGCGCCGTTGGGTCACCGTCAGAGCTGGTGGGCGGACGGTGTCCCGGTCATGTTTTGATGGTGTCCCGGTCATGTTGTGATGGTGTCCCGGTCATGTTTTGATGGTGTCCCGATC